GACTGCACCTTTTAAAAAAAATCAATAGTTCCCCTATTCCGGAGCCCTATGCTTCGCAGCTCACAGACTTTGAATGAACTTTGGTGACCCCAAACGGTACTCACAATGTGATGCGAAAGCACAGGTTCACTGACCGGTCATGATGGCGAGCCTGACAAGACGCTTATGTATGACTTTCTTTTTTTTTTTCAATCAACAAGTGACAGCACAGGACAAATATTGGTTTATTTTCATTCCGGTTACCGTGTACATAGATACTGAGACTAGGTGCCCTTTTACTGTGTTTAGACACCATGTATGAACAATATTCACGCGCGCGCGCACACACACTCACACACCCTCACGTACACCTCACACACCTACTTTCTTATCACACGCGCACTCTTACACACATTAGATCCAGGCCTAGCCTATGTCTCAGTTTGTGTTGTACATCATAATGCATTCCGGCCTGAATTTCCAGTTATAGCTTTTAGAGTACACTCAGTAGGCTTGAGCTGGGCCAATACCATGATTTACGTAGGCGTATCGGCTCTGTGCTCGCACCATTTCGTATTAAAAATTCTGTTAAAATTAAAGCGTTGATGTATTTTTGTCTGAAATTGCGGGTTTATTGCGGAACTCGACGAAAAACGCGGCCGCAAGACCGCGATTTCCTGGGGGGCCAGAGTTATGCGATTTCAATAAACTGAAACACACAGTCAGAACCAATTATGCTTATTACTTTTAATCATATTCATGTCACATTTGTAACATTGACATTGAACTGATTCAGCCAGCAGATAATTTTGACTCCGGACGCACATAATTTGTGACCACTTCGTAACCTCAAGCGTGGTCTCACAAAAAGTTAATAAAGAGATACAGGTATCTAAGTTTGATAAAACCCCATGTGTGGCACATATAGAAATGCACAGAATTTTAAAAAATACTGTTAAAATGACACCAGAAAAAAGGGTTGGAATGTAAGTACTAACTGGTCAGGAAAAAAAAAGAGAGAGGAAAGTGATGTGAAGAAAGTGAGCAATAGGTCAGGTAAGAGTAAGAGCTGCTCCAAGTCGCTTTGCATCAAAACACAGGAGAGACAGCCACTACGAGCGGCACTGCGGGCTAAATCAGTAAATATTATGAACAAGCACAGTATTGTAGAGATACGCTTTACTTTTCTGGCTACACATGTAGGCTACATGAAGAACAGAAAAAGTTTACTTGTACCAAACAATTCATACATAATAATACACAAACAAGTACAATATTGTAGTTGTATACACCTTACTTTTCTGACTAGATATATATATAAATATTTGTACATGAAAAAACATCAGAAGGCATACTGTATCATCAGATTCGTCATTCATACAAATTACTATCTCTACTATTCATTATATAATAATCATGCTCCTCCAAGACTATATTTTTCTGGTTATTTCTAGTGCACTGTTCTGGTTATATATGTAGTAGATTCTTAATCAAATTCACAGCGTTTCTTTCATTTAGCTGATGTTGATACACTTGAACTCATATCACTGGATATCACACTCAACATAACATCAGACTTGTTATCTTATTTGTGAAAGTCGTCACTTTGGCCGCCTAAAATTAAAACTTCCCAACCACTTAACTTTCGAATTTGACAAAATTAAAGGTGGTTCAGAATCAATTAAAGGGAGCACAGTTTTATTGAGGAGCCTGAAGTCACAATTGTTTAATTTTTAGTTTTTCATTAGTTTCGTTTAGATCTAATCTTGGGAAAGTCCGTCTTCTACGACGCCATTGTAAACAAGTGAGGGTTTCCGTTCACTAGCCGTGCGCCCTGATACCACACCTTTGAAATTCTGGAGTGTACAACCACGAAAGCGGAATAGAGAATCAATCTATACATCTATTATAATTTGGCAAGTTGGAAACACACGGGCCCCTTTTTCCATACGACAGCTACAGAATTGAAAGTTGGCAAATATCTGTAAAAAGATAGATAGGTCCCCATGATGGAGCCCGATTTTTAATTTATTTCCTAAATTTAGAAAAATATATTTCTGTCCCCGCATAATTTGGCAAAATTTGATCATTTTTCGCATAATTTCTGATTATTTTCCTTTAATCATTCTTTGTTAAAATTAACAGAATCGCATAATTTCACATTTTTGGGTTCAGTTTGCATAACTTCAGAATTTTTCTTGCATAAATCGACGGGGACCGATATTTGACAAAAAGTTCCTGCCCTTCTTCGGTTGTGATTATTCCACTGAGAAACGGAACAAATCTGCGTAGCTGTCCCTTTACAGCGGAAGTGCCGGAACTGGCATTTCGCGAGGCGCAATTTGGTTTGAGAGACAGATCTAGACATTATAATTTTTTGCATCTCTCAAGTTTTATTGTTTCATTCCAGTAGAGTGTAAATTTAGTAGGCCAATGACTTTCAGTTGATTTTAATGAGTTATTGCACCGATCATTTCTTTCATCGAAAGGGGGCCAAGGTGGTATACTATCGAAATGGAACCTCTGTTGAGGTCCCGTCCAGACCCTTAGGGTGTAATGTGTTAAAATATTTTTAAAATACTAAAACTGGTACGTTTGACTTGGGATCTTTCGAAAACAAACTGGTGACTGGGGGTACAATAATCTGATGAATGGCAAATTGTAAAATGGTGGTTTGTCAAGAGATTACATAGAGCCATCAAAATCAAAATGAGATCATATCTTGGACCCAGTGAATTAGCTTGTTGCACAACAAGTGGTCCTAGTTAATTTTCATAGACTCACCCACTCCCCTCTCTTTTGTCTCATTTTGGGTGTGTGTGTGTGTGTGTGTGTGTGTGTGCATTGGGGGGGGGGTGTTAAATCTTTTTTTAAGCACCCCCGCCTCCTGATTGGGAACTACAATTAAATAGCAAAAGAATAAACCAAAAATCTAACAACAAATGATAGAAGCCAGCCCAGTTGTCAGCATCATGCATTGAGGAAGAGAAAACATCTCTCTTTTTCAAACTGCACTTAAGCCTAAACAGCATTTGAAAATTGAAATCCATTAGGGAAGCAAAGAAAAAGTGTACAAAAGTCAAGTAAAAATCTGCTGTTTGAGTTTGACATAGCTCTGTAGCCTGTCGCCCTTCTGATGGAATTCTTTCTTAATAATCTAAAGAGATTTATCTACCTAAAATTAATACACATGCTTGTCCAGATCTTACTTTCACTTTTCCCCCCCCCGAAACCTCGGACTAGGGAAAACTGACTCACAAATTTGTGGATTATGATTATGTGAGGACCACCGTAAATGTTATCAAGTAATAACAAGTTGGGGTGGTAGAGTTGGAATAAACCCTTATTAAAAGTCGTAACAATTTTCAAAGTTTCCTGCTGCTTGGCGAAAGGTGCTCTCTCTCCATCCACATTGCTTTCATTTATCAGAGTTTGCCTCTGCACCAAAGCTGATTTTAAATGAGTACTAAATAATTATTCATGGCATAACGCACGCTGCACGAGAAATGCGATTTGACTTATCCTATACTATAAACAGATGTTGTGTTCATGAACTTTCAACGTAGTGAAAGTAATTTTTTTTTTTTAACCTGGAATTCATCAAATGCAAATCACAACCATATGAGATCAAAATTGTAGAATAAATACAAAGACAGAGCTACCGGTATTTCCCAAATTCTGACAATGATCAGACTTACATGGCAGTAGCAACACAAATTCTACAAAACATCCAGAGGTTGAGCAAAGGTCTTCTACTCTACCTCCTGATATTTGTAATTCAAAATGACATAATTTACACCTAGAAAGTAAAAAATAAGTTTGAGCTACATTGAAAATACGTGAGCTAATCCTTCATCTATGTCACAGACATAGTCTAATCAAATCATTCTGATGAGCTTTAAATTAAATAAGAATTTTTTTTTTACTTAGGTCAAGTGACAGACAATTAACTCAACTCAATACATACATCTTACAGCACAATGACATGATCACTTCAATCCCAAAAGAGCATTCCCTCTATCTTTCCCCAATTGGATTCTTAACTCACTGACTGCTAGGGGCACTCCAATTTAACCCGGGTTGCCGGTATTACAGGGGTGTTTTAGAAGATTCATTGTTGAATAACCATTCAAAGTAGACACTTTTAATTTTTATGTTATGTTTTATTGAAGTGAAAACAGATTTTCAACCGGTGTCATACTTTTGTTTGTATGTTTATTTGAAATACGAACAAAAGATAAACTCCGAATTACTTGAGCCACTGGGTAAGGAAGTATATAAAGGACCCTCAAACTAAAGGCACGTTTTTTTTTCCACCCATTTTAACAGAATAATAAAATTTAGGAGCATTTATACTTTGTTCAATAACAGAACCCATGCAAAACTACATCTTGTATTCTAGGCCTTCTGACGTAGTGTCAGTATTGGCAGCCAGTGAGTTCATAATTTCATTCTCTTATTCTAACCAATGATAATGATAGTACATCACAAGATAGTTCACTCCTCTCTTTGAGCCAATTAAAAAAGCATCCTCAAAATCCGGTGGCGCCCTCTTCGGAAAAGCGTACCCTTTGCGAACAGAGTTACCCTACTTGTGTGAAAAAAATCAAAGTGAAACTAACAAGTTTTTAAATAAATTAAAATTAAAATTTCGGGAGAACGCTTTTTTAAAATGGTTACGCTGACAAAAACATCTTCCGGTGGAAGAGGCGACTGTTTTCTTAGTTTAATTTGACTTTAAAATGAGAGGCGAGAGGTCATTACTTACTTTTTACTTTTTCATCCTCTGTTGCCGTTAAGCGTCGAGGGGAGATGCAGTTTTCTGAGAGGTCATTGAAATTTTTTTAAAAACCTTAAGCTCCACACTGAATGAACCTGAACAGTTGATGACAGCAGTCGATCTGCACACGCAAGGGGTTGCTATTCCAATTCTTCTTCTGGAGAAACGAAAGAGAGCTTCAAACAAAGACTGCAGTGCCATCTGAAGCAATGAGTGGACTTCCGCGGACACTTTTTGGCTGAGTGAACCATCTTGTTATGTACTATCTTCGTTCCAACATAGTGGTAATCACCATTTTCTCATTCATTGATAGTGCTTAAAAGTACACCATTTGGTATTTTCCAAGATACTAATAAAATAATGCTTAAAGTACAAATTTTGAAATTCAAACAACAACAAAAATCATAAGATCATAATACAGTGGTCTCTGGCTAATGACATGCAGCTGGGGTAGCAAGTAGAAGCATACTCTTCTTATGCAAATGTGCTAAGTGAATTTCAAAAGGGAGTAATCTAGAATAAGTTAAGTATTCTGTTGAATTTCATTGATTGATGAGAACCATCTCGCATCTGATCAACTTCAGTAGGTTGCATAATTGAGCTGAGCTCGCCCCTAAGTAAGAAGTTTTCCGGCACCCACCGATCACAGACAATGGCTGTCATAACTATGACCATAGCCCTCCCACACTCACACTACCTGTCCACCATGCAAGGCCAGACACTTGCCTCCTCATTGCGCAGTCAGTCTCACACCAACATCACCTTCCTATGACTTTTTCTCCATGGCAAAGCGACAATTTCAAGTACCGGTCATAAAGGAGGACATGTGACGTTTACTTCGCTTCCATCAGTTCCAGATCAACGAGTCATTTTTATGGCTGGTCTGTTTTCTGACACTGGCACAGGGACAATTGGGCATTTAGACGGAGTTGTCGATTTAGAATGTGCACTTTTGACTAATAATTATATCAGTATCAGAGAAAAATTGGTTCCCACTCCTAGCATGTTTTTAGGTGGATCATGCCATTACCCAGCGTGCTGTTAGCCGGAGATCACAGTATTCAAAGCTTCAATGCATTATCTTCCTATATTTACATACGCTTGCTGTTGTTATAAATCTAGAATAAGTGACTATGGTTATAATTAAAGTCATGAAGGAGGAGGAAGAGAATCTGTGGGTGAATCTGAACTTGAATTTGAAGACTCCGTGTTTTCTTTCTCTGTGACTTTGTCAGAACTTTCCTGGCTAGAGGTTTTGCTCTCGTTCCCTGAAGGATCCTCCTTTGGCTGTTCGGCTGTTACGGCATTATTAGCCCTCTCTCTTTCATCCTCCTCCAAAGCTTCTCGGATTTGGGCTCTGAGTCTGTCGTGCCTTTCATCCCAACGATCCAGGAAACTGTTTAATTCATCTATTGTGTTGTTCAAAGAGGAATACTCTGTCAGAGATGAGAAAATTCATTTAAGTCATTAACAGAAAGAATGATCAACAAATTGATAAATAAAATAAGGTATCCTGCTTTGTAACACAATGAGTAAAAACACATTGTAAGAGTATGGATGGGGGGGGGGGGGGTTGTGTCTCTACTTTTAAGTAAAAGCTCAAACTGACAAGTTACGGTATAATACAGACAACTCGAATTCGTCGGGACCAGCCTCAGTACGTTCCAGGTATCCATAGTTTGAGGTATATCTCACAAAGATAAAGAAGAAGAAAAAAAAGTGGGACTGCACGGATGTATGATTTCAAGTCTTCTGTGTTTGACCTATCCATCCATGCTATACTGTATACAGTGGAGTCCGCTTAAAGTGAACTCTTTGGGACCAGAAGAAAGTGTTCACTTTATCTGAGGTTCAGTTTAACCATGTTGGTAGGGTGGAGGCCTAGAAACAGTAGCTACGCGCAGTGGTGGGTCTAGGGTGGAGGAACAATATTAGCGGGCAAGCCTCTTTCTTTCTGATAGAGATTGCGGTCGCGAACGCCGAGCTGGGATTGTCTGCAGATGCCCGAGGCAAATAATTTAATTTTCACAGCATGATGACACAACAGTGACACTGTAGGTCCGTTCTTGTTTTCACTCATTTAAGGCGTTCACTTTATCCGTTTCCCCATGAAACTGGTTCATTTTATCCACTATTTTTTTTACTTAAACAAATAGTGTTTCAATCGGGACCACAGAATAATGTTCACTTTAACCAATTGTTCAAATAAAGCGTGTTCACTTTAGGCGGACTCCACTGTATGATTTTATAAGCTTTCAAAAAATGTATAGTTAAATATATGCAGTCAAACCTGTGTAAAACGGCCACCCAATATCATGGAGAAAAGTGGTCGTATTATAAAACAGGTGGCCGTCTTAGGCAGGACTGATCAAAATAAAGAAAGCAAATAATTCTTTTCTGATGTCCAAACCATGGCGGGGTGAAGGAGTGTGAGAAGGAGTTTTTCTGTTGTTGATGCTTTGTTGGTTTGTTTTTTTCTTTGCTGATTTTGTGCAAGGATAAAATAAAGAATGTAAGACGACGAAGACTGAGTGTCATGGTAAAACAAACACTGGGTCGTCACTACTCGGAGAAGAAGCGATGCTTCTGTCGCAAGTTCATGTTAGTGTCCATTGTTATTTTGTTGCAGATTAGGTAAACAAAACAGTGACCAGTCACTTCACGTACAATTTGTATGAGCTGTGGGCGGGCACTTCACGTAAAATTTGTATGAGCTGTGGGCGGGGCTTATACTTTATGACGGAGAAACGGTTCCCTCACCAGCAGTTGAAAATGTATAGTTACCCATTGGTCAACTTGGGTAAACATTCATTGGAGGGACTAGCGATAATGACTGGTGAATGGGTTATGACGGCTCGTCCACAGCATCAGAGGCCAATTTAGAATTTATGACAGCATTGGGCGATTATAGAGACCACTTTATTAGGGGGCATTCTCATCAGATGACTGAACCCACTTGATTGTTTGATGTTCTGTATAGATCTATATTATATTCCATGACCAGTTTCATTCCAGTTACATTTCAGACAGTTTCGTTTCTAACCTGAAAGTAGTGAAAGTAGTGTTTATTCACCTCATTAATTTTGAAATTAAATTTTTTTTAATGAACTTATTTTGATAGTTCTCTAATGAAGTAACTCCTGGTAAGAGAGAGACCCGCCATTTATTAACCACTTTGTCACCTGTAGTATATCGTGTACGCTGTTCATCACTTTTTCTCATACGGCGAAGCAAGTCATTACTGTGACACACATACCTTGAGAAGCACAAGGACCATGATGATGAATGTTGACTGGCAAAGCTTGTATTTGGCGTACAGCTTTTATTAGATACGCTTCATATAACAAATTACAGATTCACATTCATCAATGGGTTTTTTTGCATAAGAAATCTAAACCAAGACCTCAATTCATGGCTTGCACTCTGACTGCTGAATGACCTTGGTGTCTCCTGGGAAACGCTGGTCGTTAGAAATCTTGTACAGTCGAACCTGTGTAAGACGGAATCGCAACGGAGCGGGGGAAAAATTCCGTCTTAGACATTTTCCGTCTGAAGACAGGGGAATTTAGGGGGGAGGTGGAGGTTGGGGGGGGGGGGGGTTCAAAGGCCCAGCGGTGGGATCAAGGATCGCTTGTCTGATCGGCAAGCAGTGGTCAAAACTTCACACCTCTCAGCTGCTATCCTGTCTGATAATGACATGCGTCAGTCTTACGTATCCAATTATCACCAGTGCTTGCCTTTCATAGGCCCACTGTATGACCTATCAAAAACAGAAACGTTTGAACATCTCCTTTGCTTCCACCCTTAGTCCCACCCATCAATGCCACCCTCACTGCCATCATTGTAAAAACGATTCGAGGAACTCTTTTCTTGGCTGGCCGTACGATCAGGGCGGCAGGCATTGGTCAATCTAATTTCACACCTCTGGCTTCTCGCTACCCAGGAAAGTTTCCGTAGGTGTTCGCTACCCTAGCACTCTTGACTCTCACAGGCAGTCGTGAGATTTCACACCCACACTACACTGACCATCTGCATCGCTCAGGGCTCACATGATGTGGCAACATCTACCCCCAAATTGCACCCCTACTCCCCTTCCTCGCCCAGCGGCATGGCCATGACGTTAAATTAGAGCCGGCGGAACCAAACTTGCGAGTTTTGTGGTTTTGTTTCAAATCAGGGCTGAGCGAGCAAATCATTTTCCGTCTTAGACAGGTGATACGCTCGGAAGGGAGCGGATTTTTCTTTCCGTTTCCGCATTGGACAGGTATCCGTTTTATACAGGTAATTAAAGAGGAATATATCAAGGGGGGAACGGGGAGATTATGTCAAGACAGGTTTCCGTTAAGGCAGGTTCGACTGTACATCATGTCATAGTACATGGATTAGAGTCGCATAGAATAAAAAAGTAAGCTCCCAGGGTTAACAAACAAGCAATCAAATCAATCTTAATTATCCTAATGAGTCGCCTCCTTATACAGAAGAACACAGCTATAGCAGGATTTTTGGTTCCACAAGAAAAATCTCGCTGATGAAGCAGTGTTGAACTGGATGCGTGCGTATGGCTATCTCTCCAGCTGTATCCGAGTTCGGGCCTTTTCTTGCCCCGCTAAACCCGAGCACAAGTAATTGAGTTCACATAGAGAAAAAAAGGGGATTCCGGTAAGGTCCCGCTGTAGCGACCGTGGGTGGTGTCGCTATAGTATAGTCATGCTCTTCTGAAATTGAATCATGAATGAATGAGAGTGTAACATTCATTCATAAAAACTAAAAACCGAACAAAAATTATGTTTACCTCCGGCTATGCTCGCCATATCGTTAAGATCTTCAGCATCATTCACATTTAATGATGCCATCAGTAACGCTTGAAGCGTATCCTCCGTGTTTGAACCGTTGATACCATTATTGTTGAGACTCATTTCGTTGTTTTGGCTCTCTAAATCAAAATCGTCGTCAGCGCTGTCTTCTCTGTCATTACCATCTACCATGTTAGCTGTCATGTGACCAAAACAAAAATACGCTCAGGCAGAAGCAAAAGTTACAGGATGTGTAGCCAGGTAAGTCCCACGAGGGGGGATATGCAGACTTAAGAATACAGGGTACAAAAGTGCCAGTACAGATAGTCGTTCACTTTCGTCTGATATCGTGGTTTAAACAAAACAAAATCAAATCGCTTTATTTAATCTTCTAAGGTCTTTACATACGGGTCTGAAAGATGGATTACCAACAGATTTTAAAAGCCCATTCATAAAGGCCACTACAAACAAAGGTACCCATACGTTTTCTTTTCTTTTTATAATTATCTCAAAATAGAGAGGGTACAAAAAAATAAAAGGGGATATAATATATAACACCTTAAACCTTAAAAAGTTTATATAGTTTCCTCAACACCAAACTTAAATTAAGTAAGCCCAATTAAGGAACTCGGTCCAACTTCAATGGAAGAGTAAGCAGTCATGTGATGAAATCTAGAACATGCATAATAATGTGGGGGCATAATATGGTCTCACGTGTGTTTGTACTTTCTCAAAATGAGTAATCTGTAGGCAAGGTTGCTGTATTTATATAATTTATTTTAGTGATCCTGTGTATGCACCAAAAGAGCGGTGTTAGGTCCATATAAATAGACAATTGTTTTCTAACTTGTCAAAATAATGTATTATAATAGGCCTCTTGTCTTACTTGTCATACTTGTCCACTGTGTTGATGTCACTGCAGTCGGAACATGTCTCTGCTCCCCCCCCCCCCCCCCCTCTCCAGGATCCATCCCAGAGTCTGTCTGCTTATAGTCTCCATCATAATCTGGTTGGAGATCCGTCGGACGGGTCCGCACAGGTGGCTGTGTTTCCCCTCTCCTCTTTGGATCCCCTTCTCCTTCAATCCGCGTGGGAACCGCTATCCGCCCTATTCTTCCTCAAATTTTCCCTTACAGTCAGCGGTTAGGACGGTTGGTGGGTCCAGTGTCAAATTCCCTCCCACTTTTGCTACTCTGGCCAGCTTGTCTGCTCTCTGCTGCCGGTTACCCCCGCGGGGCCCGGGCAGAAGATCCAGCTAGGCCACTCTTTCCAGGCTGCTCTCCCTGATCGTAGCCTTCCAGTCTGCATAGAGCATCCCTTTCCGTACCTTCTGTAGTGTGCTCATAGAGTCAGTAATGATAACTTCTCGCTGATGGCTTGTGTTCTTGATCCAGTGTAGAGCCTCACTTATGGGTTTTATCTCCATACACATACTGGATGTTGTCAGTGCAGTTGCTTCACTTAGCTCTTTCATTACTACCCCATCAACTCTGACACTGAAGGCTCAGTCCAATTTGACTCCTGTTGACTGATCCTTCTGTGAAGATCACAGCATCTCCATGTTCGCTCTGCTCTTCTATCAGGGTTTCAGTTTCAGCGTTTGTAGCTCCAAGTGGCCAGTGCGATATTCTCTACCGAATGTTGCCTTCACTGTTGTGTACTCTCCGAACGCATCTTCGACCACGACCCAATCCCTGCTTCTCCTGATGTCTTGTATCTGGCAGCACTCGTTGTTAGTGTTCGTGGCTTGAGTCATCCATTCTGTGTCCCTCTTTAGACTTGATGTCATCTGCCGTCCCACTTTCTTATGCAGAGGGTTCGTTTCGTCTGCGCTGACTCGCAGAAAGGCTTGGACTTGTGCCAGTTTGTGCCTCTCGTCTGCACATGGGAAGTCTAGGAAATATCTCATTGCTTCAGCTGAGGTGTCTAATGTGCACCCCAGTATTGCCCTCATTCCTTCATTTTGTAACACCCGAGTCGTTGCAGTTGCGTCTTTGATAGGGTCAAGAGTCCGAGCCTGTACTCTACGACAGAGAGTATCAGTGTCTGGTAGAGGATGACAAGGATTTTCTGGCTCACCTTAGCTCTAGCCATCATCTTAAGGTTAGGCCTTTTCTCGACCTGGAGATTGTTCTCGTGAAGTGATCTTTGCCAGAGAGGGTGCGATCAAACGTGATGCCCAAGTACTTCAGCACTTTGCCTCCAATCGAGATACTTGGCATGTCATCGTGCATTGCATTGTTATTCAGTGTACACCACAGTGCGCAGGCTTTGTCCGGGTGCAGTTTCCCGTTGTTCGCTTCTCACCACTGTTCAAGTCTATCGAGTTCTCCCTGTACTGTCTCCGCTGTAACCTGGTGGTTCTTGCCTTGCCTGTACACCAGCACATCATCAGCAAAACTGAGTAAACGCCCGGGCCCTTCCAGCTGGTTGGATGTTATCCCTATTGTATAGACGTTGAACAGAACCGGCGGGAGTACAGATCCCTGTGGTAAGCCTGGTGTGATTTCTGTAGGATGTGAAGCCCAGCAACCAAGACGTAGTGCTACCTTTCGTTTGAGCAGCGCGCCCCAATCTATTGCACAACATGTGGATCTACCCTCAGGTTGACTAGAGTCCCTACGAGGGTGTCGTACTGAACTCGGTTGTAGGCATCTTCCAGGTCAAGTGTTGCTACCAGAGTTTCTTCCCCCCGTTCGAAGCCATCATATACGTCGGGTGCAAGAGTGGCAGCATTCATCCATGTGATCTTTCCTCTCAGTTCCGGCGGCAGGACGTTCTCTTTCTACAGCTCTATTGCCAATCTGCGTGCCTCAATTTTCTCCAGCAGCTTTCCGACGGTATTTTGCATGGTCACTATGCGATATGAGGCAATCTTGCTTGGGTCCTTGTCTGTCTTAGGAACTGGGGACAGGTGGCTGTCCAGCCAGTCTTAGGGTATCTCCCCAGTCCACAGGCTTTCGTTTAGCCTTTCGGCTAGTGCCATTGTCTATAGGCCTATATATGACTAGTCCTATGTCTACAATAGGAATTACACGTTCCTCTTATCGGACAATTATTAGGATTTTTTATACAAGAATACACGAACGTGAGCGTGCGCGCGCGCGTGCGCGCGCGCGCGCGCGCACACCGACACACCGACACGATAATATGTGTGTTAATTTGTGTTATAGCCAACTTCATTCAGAGAACATTAATATGTGGGTGATGGGAAAAAGAAACTTACTTACTTACTACCTGTTACGCCATCGGGCGTTTAGGGCAGCAATAAAAGGATCTCCAGCTCTGTCTGTTTTGGGCCATCTTGGTCAGCGTCCCCCACGAATGATTCCAGGACTTCATTTCAGACTCTACTGTGCGTCTCCAGGTCACTTTGGGTCTGCCCCTTTTGCGACGTCCTTCGGGTGTTCAGTGGAGGGCAGTCTTCACAATAGAGTCTGGTTCTCTTCTCAGAACATGCCCAATCCATCTCCATCTTCTCCTTTTTTATAATGGTGGTCATGTCCTCTTGCATACATTTTCGTAACAGATCTGCGTTGGAAATCTTGTCGGGCCAGAAGATTCTGAGGATTTGGCGTAAGCTGGTTGTATGAAGGAAGATAGCTTGGCACGGTCATGATCAGTCATCCTCCAGCATTCAGCTTCATATAGGAATGTGGATAGTACACAGCTGTTATACAGCTTTAACTAAAAGTAAAAGAACCCCCCCCCCCTTAAAAAACTAGACATGAATTTCTTCTTTTTGATCACATCACACTTGAAGTCCCTATCATATATACACTGCCCTGTTCACCTGTCGGCTAACACGTAGAGCTTCGATCTCTTGTAAATCCAGACATTATGTTTTTTCTGAACATCAGCACAGGCTGACTAATCATGATAATTAATATTCTTCTCAGATTTAGCTCTTGAAGAAGTAGAAAACATTAATGTATGCCAAGAGGCCTAGTCCCTGGATCTTTTGAGAAAAGTCCTTAAAATGTCATGAAAAAAAAAAATCAATTGTAATCGAGGTTTATAAGATAAATACTTTAAAATTATATTATACGTATAGTCGATCGTCTTTTATAGTGCTATAATTGTTGTAGTGGAGATTGTTTTGATTCAGATCTCTTGGACATATTAGGGGAGGCACGGGGGAGGAGTGGGGGTGGGGTGGGGTGGGGTTGAGGGGGGTGGGTGGGGCTGAGTAACCCACCTAGGCTCCTTTCATCCACACCAGAGCATGTACACAGGCCGAACCATAGATTAAAATATACACGCTCAAATTTGTTTGATGTTTTTTTTTCTAATATGTTTGACACCAATTTTGTAAATGTTTTTGATCGTGTATGGGCGTGTTTGATGGTCAAAATCAAAATAACTTGAAGTCAAATATTTGACGGATCTGTTTTCAGTTGATATTTTTTGTCAAACCGTCAAACTTTATAATCGTGTGTGGACTTCATCAAATTTATTTTTGCAAACATTTTTTTTTGCAGTTGCTGCCGGATAGAAAAGCCATCAAAGGATGTAAAAAAAATAATCCTGGAACTGATTGAAAGGTACAGTCAGAGTTTGTCTGAACTAGCCTTTGGAAAGTAAAGTACATATAGTGACAGAGATAATAAAAAAGAATCTGCCTATGACGTTCTGCTGCTGAAATAGGCCTACGTCAGGGAGTGGTATGCAGATGCCACAAATAAAGAAAGGAAACAGAAAATTTAAGCAATACGGACGAGTTTTCGAAGGGAGCTGAAGAAGTTGGATGATTCTCAAAAGTCTGGGGCCGGTGCTGATGATAGCCTATCGACGAGCCTTCATTTGTGTTTTTTAATGCTCTTTTATTCCTGTTCGCTAGGCCTAGTCAAGATCACACCGGCACGGTCACTTTCTTTTTTTTTCTCTACAAGGCTAAAGCAAGAGCCAACGATGTTTGTCCGTCTGTTGGCACAAACTAATGTTTGACCCCCCCAAAAAAATTGAGCGTTTAGGGCAAACGTCAAACTGTCCAAAAAATGGGATAAAAAATATTTGACAAACAAATTTGAGCGTGTATGGGGCACTTCACACTTTATGTAGGCCCAAGGCCTAGTTAGTTTAAAAAGGAGATAACTCGAGCCTTGGCCTATGGGCCGCCCATAGATGTACACAGTATAAAAGGAGATAACTCTATGGGGCCGACCCAAACCAGGCCTAGGCCTGCCTAGGCTAGGCCTATTTGGCAATTAGCTTGGTGAAGCGTCAACGGTCCCAGTGTGCATCATTATTCTGATGTGTAGATTCTTCTTGGCTGCTACGTCATTTCCTCTTTGATCCGCGTCCAGCGTCCGTCTGACGACTTGTTCAAGCACCGCTAAACCCAGTTTGATTCAGGTAAGAATTTCTTGTTGATGTCAGCAAAGGCGACTTATGTATAGGTGAAATTGAGCGGCGATGAAACAGAAACAGGATTTTGATAGATATGCTTTATTTTACGTTTATGTGTAATACGATGCAACTCGATTTAGACGATGCCATTCGACGCCGGCTTGACGTTGACACGCTCGATGCCGGTTGTTTTACACCTTGTTACCAAATCCATTTAATAATTTTCACCATGTATTCTAAGCCTCTTTTCTTTCCATGATAATATAATTTAGCTTGCATGTAACAACCATCTGTCATACAAGGCGTCATACAAATGTATTTGTCCGTCATCGTTGTGTGTATCGAGGTCTAGATTTTCTAAGCCTCTAAAGTCTACTAAGGCAAGGCAGTTAGTTGAGTTAGTCTGCCCAGGCCCAGTGGTCAAGTCCAAGTCTGCCAATTTGAATTTGTTTGGGCCAGCTAGAGTTCGTGCCTACTTTTTCATTCAAAGGGCATCATATGGAGTGGAATAGTGTCACAAGCGGAACATTTTTATTTTCTATCCCACATGCAGATGGGGATTTCCGCAGAGAGCAAACCAACACATGCGACTAAATGAAAATGACGACTATAGACACCTGCCCTTGGGCGCCTTGGCGCGACCGTGCCCTGAGCGGGACCAGTTCCCCATTTTTCCTTTTGTGCAGCTCGTGTGCAATGTTTTATTAGAGCTACATGCCTTGTGACTTGTCTAGTTCCACTTTTGGTCAATCCTTTTCCAAGAACGTCAAGTCGTCTGCTAGATCTAGATCTAGATCTAGATCTAGAGATCTAGATCTAGATCTAGATCTATATTCTAGTGCAGCAGTCAATGTGAGTCAAGTTCGAAGTGAAAGGCTTAGGGCAAGTTAGGGGCTTAGGCCTATCAGAAACATTCTTAGAGAAGTTTCCTTCAGTTAATAAACTAGAGTAGCTGGCCCAACCCGCGACCACTTGTCTCTGTACCCTCTGTTATCAATAAGATAATTTTCATCATGATTTGATAAAGAAATGATTTTACTAACCTTTAAATAAATCTAGAATCTAGACCTAGTGGGCGCTTTTTCGGTAGTTCCCACCCTGCAATTGTTATTCACGGGTTTTGGCCCCAAGAGTAGGGGAGTTTCAGGGGGGCTCCCCCTGACCTAACAAAAATAGGAAGGGGGGGTTTCAGGGGGGCATGCCCCCCAGAATTTTACCACAATTTAATGTTTTGCTGTTGTTAGGTTTGATATCTTAGCTTAGCTCACCGCGAATCAAACGTATAGATCTGATCGCGTCTCGTTAAAATTCCGCAGCTTTCAGCAGCCCAGTTTTGGTTTAGATCCAATCTAGACATATTTTTCTTGGATCTGCGAGAGTGGCAGCCTTCTTGTGACTTTACTTTTCTTGTGAGACCTTTTTATTCTTCTCAGTCGAGCAGGCGAGTAATGGCCGCCGCCATTTTTACCACTTTCATTTCTTTTGTGTGAAAGTTCATAAAGGTACTGTGAATGACATAAGTTTAAAAATAGCAACAACTGGCCCAAATTGTCTTCCTGAAACCTAAAAATAGTGTCAGCCAGGGTTTTTTCCTCCAATCAACCACTGTCCCGAGATTTTGGCTGTCCCATGTGAGGGGTACTGTCTTTCACTATGGAACCCTAGATGGGCCAGCTCTCCAGTTCAGGGTGTGAAGCCCTAGATGGGCCAGTTTTCAATATTCTAGTGCTATCCCCTATCCCTAACATGGGACAGGTGGCCCATTAAAGGTATTGGTTTTAATGTGGGACAGGTCCAGTACTGCTGGACCCATATATGGGACGGCTTCCTATATATCATATATGCATAGCTGCCACTTTCCCGCTAAATAGCGGAAACTCCGCTTCATCCAGCTTTTCCCGCTACTTTCCTCCGCCGGACCGCTCTCGGTCGCAAATTGCGATACTATTTTACACGCGGAAAACACCGAACCGGGAGAGAGTCGAAAACGCAGCTGCGCATGTCCGCCCGTAGCTTTCTACTTCCGTTCTTCTAGGCCTAGCGTTAGTTTCACTTTGTTTACTGTGGAGCAAAAAAGTGTCGGTCGCATCTGGCATCGGGACGTTAGCGCGCCGAGTTGTCATTGAAAACGGCGGAAATTCAAGAGAAATTGATGCAGAATGCAAAAATAAAAGGAGCTCCGCTTGCTGCACTTTGCGTTTGGTGCGATAAAGAAATCGCGGCCCGCGGCACTCCTGTACAATTGCGGTCCCGTTTGTTTACATGACGGCTATTGTGGCTGTTGAAGTGAATCTAGATAATCTGATCTCTAGATATAATCTTGATTTAGATATCTAAATTCTAGATCTAGATTTAGATTAGATAGCCTAGGCTATAATTTTAATTCAGGTTAGATCTACACTCTACAGAGGGACTCCTAAGTTAGGTGCAAACGGGACCGCAATTGCACAGGAGTGCTCAGTACAGCGGCAAAGGTGTTGCCTCCTTGATCCAATTCTGCGCGCGCTCTACATCGATGTACAAGTTTAAAGTGAAAGAAATCATTTTATAAGACACCAGCTTGCCACAAACACTGGATTTTTAGTCACCAAGTCCAAACTGTGTCAAATTGACTCAAATGCTTGGTAGTCTACTTACTGCCTTTGTTGGTTTTTTTTTTTTTCCAAATACGTTTTAATACAGTTGCCTATGGTTAACAAATATGACAGTTTTCCCTTCCAAAACCATAGGGAAGATTTTCCAGTGTATATTTCCTCTGGATCTCACTGCTTTTACTCCGGCTTTCAGAGAGCGCGCGTCCGCCTTCTCATGAATTTCCTTTTTTGAAATTCCTGAGTGGCAGCTCTGTATATGGGACAGCTGCCACATGGTTTTAGTTTTGAACTTATATTGTTACAGCTACTCTGTTCAAGTTACATGAGACAATTTTTAATGTTAATTCTTGAAAGTAACCACTCAGTCTACAGAGAGAGACAGTGGGTGGTACTGATACACTTATGTTTGAGTTTTTAAGTGGGACAAATTGGCATTGATCACTGAACTTTCATGCTGGAGCGGGGTTTTTTCTTCAGCACTATGGCACCATCAAAGCGCCATGCCAACTCTAAGGATGTCATCCAGGCTAAGGTGGATGCTGTTCAGGCCCCCCCAAAAATGAGCTTTAGGGAAGCCTTCAAGCAGTATTAAAATTTATTCCCACAATCAACCATCCAAAACAGAATTAAGGGCATCACATCCGTTCGCAACTATTCAAGGACAGTCTCGACAGCAGGAACAACAGAGTGCCAGGAGGGGTTTTGGACGCACTTAACAAGTGCGGTACAGACGGTACTTAATGCCAATCCCAGTGTCAAAAATCCCTCCAGAGAACAAGCCAGGGAAGAAATGGTTTGCTTTATTTAGAGACAAAAGGATGCCATTTCAATCAGAACACCCCAAGCACTTGGGAGCCAGAGAGCGTCGGTCACAAAAGAAAAAGTTTGAACTGGTTTGATAGTGCGTTATTTTCATCGATTAACAAACTCCCACTGTATTCATGGCGAAAACATTTCCTGGACTGCTCGCTGTAAACTAACATCACATACTCTGGCCGCTGAGTGACCTCGGTGGCCCATTGGGAATGTCTGCTGTAAGAAGTTGGGTCTTACAGTAGATAACACTTGCATCTTGGCACAGACGCAGGACAGGAGTTTAAACTGAACTCATTTACCAGCATGCCCTCATAACAAACGTGATTCAGTGCTTCCATAAATAAAGCAACATACAGAGATCCTCAAATTTTTTTTTTTTTACTGTGCACTTTTTTATCTGCCTTTCATTTACAATATGACTGACACTTTGGCCCAACTGTTTGCATAATCTGTTTCTACTCATTACTGTTTCAGGTAATCTGTTGCCATGGCTGAAGACAGTGTCATCCTTGATTACGATGAGGAAGAAAATGAAGCAACTGTAGATGCCGCTGGGGGTGACGGGCCAGCAAAGAAGGATGTCAAGGGAACATACGTGTCCATCCACAGTTCAGGGTTCAGAGATTTTCTGTTAAAGCCAGAGCTACTGCGTTCAATTGTGGATTGTGGCTTTGAGCATCCCTCAGAAGGTATCCCGGAATTTTACTGTTTGCAATTGTTTGTTTGCAACATTATTGTTTTGTAGTTTGATTATTCTATATCAATGATTGAGAAAAAAGATTTGTTTTTTGTACAGAAAGTTCATATTTCCTCGGTATGATAGTAAGTGCTTTTTACTTTATACAAACACCCCTTTGTTGCCTTATGATGCACCTGGCATGTCATGAAAGTGTTAATTTTTAGTTTTGGCTGTACCATGGGCAGATTCTTCTGTATGAGGTTTTTCGCTGCAATCACTGTGAATTCGTATTCGGGATAATAAAAATGGGCGTATTTGCACATTTGCTATGCTTGCAAGTGATTGATATACACATCTAGTCTTGCAAATGAAATCACAATCTCTCAAAATAGCTTTGAAAAGGCAACAAATTTCACTTTTTGATGTAAAATTTGCAAGTTGTTTAAAATTATGGGTAAGATGAGGAATACAGGGAATGAGGAAAGTGACTATTCAAGACTTAATGTCGGAATGTCAAAAGTGGGCCAGATCTAGACAGTGAGTCCACTTTGAAATGATGAGACTGCTGTCCTGGCTAACAAGCGTGGTTGAAAAATCAGTGCTGACTGTAGGAATGCCCTTCCCCCTGGCTACAGAGGTTTTTTTTCTAGTACTTAATTCTGGTTGTCACATTCCTTGTCGGGCCGTATGCTAGTTTTGGGGTTGGTTTCATTGCTGTCTTTAAGTCACAGAAAAGCACAGAAAGTGACTTCATTCTGTTCTTTTTGGGTGGTTTTTCATGGATTGCGAATTTTGTCCTTTCTTGTGATATATGCATACCTGCCAACCCTACAGAAAAAATCGGTAGATCACCGACTTTTGGGTCAAACTACCGATCCACCGATTTTGAGATGAAGCCACCGACTTCGGGATTCAGCAGGGTGACTGCCAGGCCCCGGGAATTTGAGAAAGTTATCAAATATTTGAAAACCAAATCCGATAACGCCCGCAAGTTCATTTTTGCTGGTCGCGATTGTGATTTATTCGGC